TAACTAATTCGAGATGAACCATGATGCGTGATTGTAAAAAATAAGAATTTGTAAGACAATAAGGCTACTATAAACTAAAGATATGCTGTAATTATAAATAAAAAAACAAAGTCCCCTAGATAAGACAATTAAAAAAGTATTAGTCGTGATCAATAACTTATTCATGAAATAAAAAATTACTTGTCTCAGTAAATCAATGCCTGGTACAAGATAAAAAAATTCTTGATTTAAAATATAAAATCTTGGTCTTTTTTTCTTGCAAAAAAAAAAAAAAAAAAAAATATGGAAAACACCGATGAAAACTATAACTTTTCTGATTCTGAGAATGATCTATTAGAAGAAGATAACTTTTCAGATCTGAATACCCTAATTTCTCAAGAAGCCAATACTAGTTCACCCCAAAATAATACTAGTTCATCCCAAAATAATTATGCGTCAAGAAGAAAAGACAAGAAGCATTTAACAATTTGGCCTCATTTTAATATCAATACTAATACCCATCCTGGTATACCTGTATGTCGACAATACAATACTGTTTTCTCAAGCACCACTGGAGTTTCAACTTTGCGAAGACATCTTAATTCTCATAATATTAGTGCACTAGCAAGACATTAGACCACTCTTCCCTTTTCTAGAATTTCAAGAACTGACCCATATAATGAAGAAGAACAAAAGAAAAGAGATAAAAAACTAATTACCTGGGTTATTGCTGATCAACAACCATTTACTGTTGTTGAGAATCAACATTTTAATGATTTCATTAAGTTTCTTGACCCCCGTTATATAACACCAACATGACAAGCTGCAAAAAAAATGATTATAGATGAATTTGAAAATAGAAGAGTAAAAACAGTTAATGATATCACAAAAATTCCCAGAAAAGTCTCGTTAACTGCCGATATGTGGACGTCCTGAAATTTTGAAGTATTTCTTGGTGTTATGATTCACTACGTTGATTCAAATTGGAAAATGCATCATTTTCTCCTAGATATCATTCCATTTACCAACAGACACACGGGTGTAAATATGGCAGATGCCATTAATAATCTTCTTGCTGAATTTAACATCAAAGATAAAGTCTTAGCACTTACCACTGATAATGAGTCTGCAATAATTGTTTGTAAAAGGCTAATCACGGAAGAACTTCAACATGAATTCAATAATATTAGGTTTTCACATTATCGTTGTGCTGCCCACGTGCTCAACTTGGCTGCCAAACAGGGATTAGAAATGGTTGATTCTTCAATAGAGAAGGTTCGAAGTTTAATGTCAAAAATCAAAGTATCTACCCATCTCTGTGATGATTTGCGTGGCTTATACCAACTTAAGAGGATTCCATATCTTAAACCTGAGTTAGATGTAGATACGAGATAGAACAGTACCTACTACATGTTGCAAAAAATGCAAAAAATAGAAACAGCACTTAGATTACTTGCCGCAGACCATCCATCAATTCATGCCCTATATCCGAATATTAATGAGCAACAAAATTTAAAAGTAAATAAAAAAAAATTATTATAATTGGGGTTTCAAAATTAAAATCAAAAAATCTTATTTTATTTTCTGATTTATAATTTAACATAGTAAAAATACTATTAAAAAAATCTTACTTATTTTCGAAATGCACCACTTATTTGTTAATTCTGAAACCCTAATTAATTCAAGTATTCGTTATTAATAAATAATATTTTTTTAAAAATTTATTTTAGGATGTGCTTACTTTATTAGAACCTATCGAAGCTGCCACAAAATTGCTCTCTGCAACATCATATCAAACTATAAGTGATATACGTCTAGTGTTTTTAAGTATTCAGGATTTCCTTGATACGTATATTGAACAAGATGAATTTTCTCAAAAGATGGTTGCTGCATCGATTCATCAAAAGATAGAGGAATATTGGATTATCATGGATAAGTCCTCTGTTGTCTCCGCCGTTCTTGATCCTCGTGCAAAATTAAAAATGTTTAGCAAAACAGAAGCCATTGATGCCAAAAAAACAGTTCAAGAAATTATAGATCAATATACTTATAAGTACCAAAAAACTTCTATCTCTATGAATACTGAAGATAATCTGATTAAAACTGCTCAAAAATTCTTTTGGAATTTGCACAATAAATGTGAATTAGAAGAATTACCTGCTATTGATGAATCTTTAACCTCAGGTATAAGTGAACTGGATCGCTACATTAGGACAGAAGTTATTGAAGAAGAAACAGTTCCCTTAGACTGGTGGAAAGCGAATCAAGAAACCTACCCTATTCTTTCAAGAATAGCATCTGACTACTTGAGTTTTCAAGCAACGAGCGTTGCATGCGAGCAAGCGTTTTCAATAGCCGGCAACACCATCTCAAGAACTCGCAATCGTCTTTATTCTGAAACAGCAAGAGCTTGTCTCTGTGTTAAAAGTTGGATTAGTAATGGGGTTGGTGAAATTAAATAAAATAAAATAACTGAGCATGATAATGCAGTAGCATCTTCATAAAATTATATCCCCTCAATTTGGCAAAACACAAATTTTTTAAAAAATCTAAACTGTTAATTGATATAATACAGTAATAAAGTGTTGCATTTTTTTGTTACGAATAAAAAATCTACTGAAAACTGGAAATTTAAAAAAAAAAAAGATCACGATCGCTTAAATAATGCATTCTTATTGGTTGAAGGTGGTCCGGTCTAGGGTCTGGTCCCGAATCGGACCGAACAAGACCGGTTTATCGGACCAGTTTATGAACCCTGGTCCGGTTGATGGTCCGCTGCCGGGACCGGTCTTTTGAACCAAGACCGAACCAGGACGGACCGTAACATCCCTAGTTACATCTGATCTTAATTTTGATTGGTTAAGAATTACAAGAATAATTTTTGTGAGTGCGCTACTTAAAATCCTTTAGATGACCTTTATATATTGTTGCATATATTTTTAATTATTATAGACCATAAACCCAGAGCGACTCAATCTCTACGTAAAGTGATCAAACATTACGTTATTAATGCATTTCGATACTTTTTTGATACATCTGCATAAATATTATGAAAATTGTACAAAAACAGTAATTTAGAAAATTTTTATCCATCCGTACGCGTTTATAATCTTGTGCTTTAGTGTAATAAAGGCATACCAGTATATAGCATGCGTTATTAATTATATGGAATCCGACACGCATTATCTAGTACTAGATAATAAATAAATACTTTCATTTTAAATGTTTCATTGCCTTAAAATAGGTCAATTATAAAATATTTCATCATTTGAAAATTTTATCATAATAAAATATTTCGGCAAGCCCAAAATACTTTAGGCTCACATGTATATCCAAAGGCTTCTGAACATGCATCTGAAATAAGCGAAAGAATTGGATCAAGGTTAATTTGAAAATCTTTAATAAATCTATCAATATTTATATTTCCACTTGTCCATTTATTAATTTCTTCTAAAGGGTCACATAATTGACACCACGTTGGAGAAATAAAAGGTCGATTACATTTTGTACATTTTCCATAAAAATTATATCTTTAAAATGAAAATAAAAACCATTAAAATCATATTAATTCCGTTCATCATATTTAGGTTTAACAAAATGATATATGTTAATGGAATATTAACCTTTTAATTTGATCGATCGATGATAACATAGATTAATATAAGAATTTTAATAAACAAAAATTGATGAACTTTTCTACTTACTTACTGTTTAGTATAATTAAAAGAATATTAAATCATGAATCCTCATTAAGATATTCATTTAATAAATGGGAATTTACACTTACAAACTTAAAATATTTACGAAATTGATTGAAAAGTATTTCAATGTTTAATTTCTTTTAGGTAGCTATTTTTATATAAAATTTAATACTCACTCACTATAATATGAATAATGATAAAGTATGATTATAAAATGAGATAATTTGTTATGATAAATATAAACATAATAATATTTCACACTAACCGCCTAATAAATATATTTGATCAGAATAACGTTTATTGTTTAAAATAATGTAAAATAAATATTATACATACCGGACAATAATAAATGCTACTTCTTTGTAGACATAATTACGAATTATCATGAAAATCTTAAGGTTAGACGTGACAAATAAAAGGAGTGGAACTATATCATATTCAAAAAGGAAATCATAATTGTAATAATAGACCTAATTTTAAAAAAATATATTGAATTAATAAATCTAATTAAACTTCTATAGGTAAATGAATAGGCATTATGTTAATTCCAAAGATTTCTTCAATAGAAAATTACTCGGGACGTAGGGATAATTTCATAACGATAAATATAATGAAAATTTTACTCACTTGAATAATGATCTGCGGGATATTCCTAAAAAAAATATCAAAAAATGCACCCCATATAATTACATCGTCCAAAATATCTTCAAGTATATTAAATATATTGATTTCCTCGTAATTGCGTAATATTTTAGTGCACATAAGCAAGTCTCTCAAAATCACCAAATATTTGCTACCAAAATAATTAGTATAATTACTAAGACTCGATGTTTCATAACCCATTCTTTAAAGTCTTCACTAATAAAGCGATTTTAAATTCCTTTAGAAATAGTATAAATTGCTATATAAAAGTTTATGAATAATGGAACACTCAGGATGGCCACACTACAATGTTTTGCATGATCAAAAGATAAAGATGACAATAATTTAATATTAATTTAATGATAATAGAAATAAGCTTATTTAGCAAAAATACCTTGGCCAGTAAAGCTCCGGCATATTTTTAGAATTATAAGCAACAAAGAGAACTGAAAGAATAAAATTAGGGATGATTAATCCAAGTCTTAAGATTGCAGAACTTAGTGCCTCGAATTTTTTTGATTTTAACTTTTTAAATAAAAAATTTTATAAATATTCGTGATAAAAGCTTCTAAAGAACATTGATAAAATAAATTTATCTTAAAGCTTAGTATATGAAATAATAAGCATAGTGTTATAAAAATTATAATTCCGATTAGTATTGCTACTTGTACTTTGAAGTCATTCAATACATTCCCTAAAAATATAAAAATTAGACATATAATTTAATTCTGAAACATTTTTAAACGAGACAACTAACTTACATCTTGGTTGAAAGCCGTAATCTAGGTCTAGGTCATTTGTTATACCGAGAGAGAAGGTAGTGATATTCTTGTAAATTATCATAGTGTTTAAATCTGAAAATAACTCTGAAACATCACTTTTAATTTCATTATTTCCTATATATATACAAATTAAAATAACTATTTGATCATAAAACACATTATTGAATCTACTATCTGAACTTAAATAAGAACGATTTATTGGCACTTTGTCGGCGAGTTCATTCAATAAACTATCAATGTACGCTGATTGATTATGTTTAGAAAGGTTTAAGAATTTTGTTAAAGCATCTGTAGTAAGACGCACTGAGCCCATAATAGCTTTATCTGTAAGAAATTATAATAAAGGTCATGTGAAGTATTTTAAAATGAACATAAATGAAATGCGTACATACTATCTGAGTATACCTTCCGACTATCTAGGTCACCTAAAAGTCCAAAGCAATAAAAAAAATATAGCGGATAATAATTTCCAAATTTAAAAGATAAGTTAAAAAATATATATTACGTGTTTCAAGAATCCAAATATCATCATGAATTCCTTTAAGGGTTCATTATTATCCATGGTTATAAAATATTTTTCGCCATATTCGTTGAACGTGCTATCAATGACTTTTATACTAATAATAGATTCAAAATCATTATAACTGATTTTACAGTAATCACGCATTGTTGCTGAAACTCTTTGTCTAATGCTGTTATCGGAGGCTTTATAGATGGTGATGTTGCCAGCTGACATTGACAAATCACGAGATCTCACGAAACTGATGTTAAGGAAGACCGTTGATGAATTGACATTAGCATTGATTGGTGGAATAGTTCGGTTTATATAGACATTATCATAACCATGGCCGAGATAGACTAAGTAGAGAAACATTAACACTATATAAAATATTAAATAAAACTATAGCTATTAAATAAGTATATTCAACAATAGAAATTAACTATTGGAATATTTAGCAAAGACCAAGAAATATTATCATTTGTAGAGGGTGAAGCGAGAAGAAAAGTATTATTCTGTGTAATAGTGTTTGCACTAAAGTAATTTGTAAGAAAATGATTCGATGAATTTGAAGTTTTGTTTAAATCATCGTAAATATAAATATAACAATAAGTATTATCATCATTATCGTCATAAGTTGTGACATCTAATATATAACCACCGAATGGCATTATTTTTGCTCTCAAACCTTGCTGGGTCTGATTAGTTATTTCAACAAATTGAGCAATATTTCCTGATGAATAAAGGATAATTTGTACTACCGTAAAATATGGAAAATAAGCACAGCACCCTCTACCCTACTTTTTTCAATTTCAGATTAGCGGAAATAAATTGATTAAAGATTTTATTGCTATTCCGCTAATCTGAAATTGAAAAAATCAGGGTAGAGGGTGCTGTGCTTATTTTCCGTACTTTACGGTATATATGTCGTATTATCGCTGTTTATGGAAACTAAACAAGTAATACCTATATGAGCTACATCACAATCAACTGACTTAATTGTTATATTAGGTTGTGGTATTGTATAGATAATAGCTGCATTAGAAAAATCGGGTTGGTTGTAAAATATAAACATCGTGAAAAGCCCGCCATGTGGAACTAACGAATTTTTATTACTTTCTTGCACATATCTAAAGATCACCAAATAACCACTATCAATAGTGGACACGATCGACATCAGCGAATATTGTGTAGGAGATCCTGTAATGCCAATGCTTGGGTCTAACGGTATGCCAATGCTTGGGTCTAACAGTATTAAATTTGTTAAATTTGTCAAATTTCCATGACCGTCACTACGTATATGGATATAATATTAAGTAATCAATGTAATAATTAGAGTTAATACAGTCAATAATAATAATAATATAATATAATTACATTGAATATTGCTGATAAATCAAGTAGCCATCCGGAAATGACACTTGAACAAATCTAATAAATCCAAGTTTCTTGTTTGCCTTTAACTGAATTGTACTATTAATCCAAAACTTCCAATGAGAGCTACTAGAATTAAAACACATATTACTAGAAATTTATAGAATGATCATTAATAAAATTTTTATAAATAAAATAAAGATATTTATGACATAAAATATTGCTATACCTTTTACTGATTCCATCCCAATCGATGATTTCCCCGCACTCTTCGTAAAATGCAAGATTAGAAGAATCATTTGTTTTAACATAAGTTACTAGAATGAATGGTTTTTGTAAAGGATATATTGTAATAGGATTTACTAAATTATGCAATATACTTAAGTTATTATTACTTTTAGTATCATTTAAATATAACTATATTGTTAAGTTTGTTAATTTTATATTCAGTACTATTACGATTGAGTAAACAATAATTTATAGGATCTAAATTTAAATTGGGATCAATCTCTTTAACAGTTCCATTTAAAAAAATAAGTCTTATTCGTAATTTCTGTTCTAAACTTATTCCACCAATTTTTGAGCATTCTTCTATTTGTGTTGATTCATTTCGTATAATATGAACGAGAATTGTTCCATCATCAAAAGTTTTAATGTCAACTATAATAGGTGGTGTATTATGATCTCCTAATCCACTTTCCGTGTAGTTAAAATACGTATGTGGTAATGTTTGTGAGTGCGTTAGTGATACGAGTAAGCAAAGTAATAAATACTGTACTATAAGATTGTAAAAAAGACTAGATAATTTCATCGTGAATTACTTTTATATCGTATTGTACGAAAAAAGTTAAATATTAGAAAATCGGACAGGTACATGTAAATATATTTTTACACCGCCTGTTGCCCTAAATGGTTCCCTTCAACTTGTTTGTAAAATAATCGATTAGAAAATAATGAACATTCATAAGGTACTTGCTAATTTTATTTATATGTTTAGAGTAGCTTTTCGAAAATATATGCTTCGTAAATTGATTAGATAATATTACATGTTATCTTCATAAACTAGATACTGTACGTATACTTGAATACTAGTATAAAAAAGTTAGAAGCAACCTTTTTCAGATAGGAACTGTTTTGACGATCTTATGCACGAACATGATACAAATTACAAGCATTAAGATAACTAACTGGAAACCTAAAAACTTCGATTACTTTATATAGAATAAAGGTTAACTAACTCATTGAAAATAAACAAAGTTGTCATCTCAAAAGCATGTTATTGCGTACATATTGTTCTTTGCTTATTGAGATCGATAATTTAGGAAATTTATTTTCAATGTGCTACTACATCATCTCTACATATACATCACGAAGTTATTTTTATTTAGAGTTATCGTGCAAACTCTTATGATCATAGATTTTTTTCTTCTTGTTATTTTTTGTACGTTATTAGATAAGCACAACAATCTCGAATTAAAACTCAATTAGCAAATAATGACTTGTAAATCATGATCATAACTGCACGATAACATCGATATTGGATCATGCGATCATAAAATTTGTTCTGCCGGAACAAATGGTTGGCTGAAATGTGCCGCTGCGCAGCACATGTCAGCCAACCATTTGCTCCGACAAAACAAACTTCATGATATTAATCGTTGCATGACCAATATCTTATAATAAATCAAATCTACGTACATGTAGTACAATATATGGATCTCAATTTTTATTTGTGTATATAATTCTTCACTAATTTTAAATATAGTAAACTTCTCTATAATCACACACTTGGGATACATAAAAGTGTGATTGTAAAGAAGTGTGACAATTACAGAGGTTAAATTTATTATATATATTTAATAATAGTTTGTTTTTTAAAGTGTTTACAAAGAAAATGTGCTTATATAGGAGATGACTATAGGGAAGTTCAACTGTAGATGTATAGTCTTAACGGCTCGATAGTTTAGGATAAAATTTTGTAAAAGCCAATATTATGTCTTTACAAACAAAGTTGCAGTGCAATTTCTTTTCTTTAAACATAAAATGTTTCTTTAAACTACTTTTCTAAAATGGATTTAATTAGTTTTTCTATATATAAATGAAAGAAATAACTCTGTAACTTTGTTTGTAGAGCCATAATATTGGTCTTTACAAAATTTTACTCGAAACCATCGAGCTGTTAAGGGTTTTACCACAAAATCCCGAAAGACATATTCCTGAAAGGACCTAATCCCCACGAACCTAGCATGACCACCGAAATCAGTTACGTAATCGCTGTTTAAAATTATCTTCCAAAAATTAATGCAATAGTATATTAGTCATTTATGACGATATCTGTTTATAATATAGTATCGTGTTTAAAAATTTCTTTTTTTACCATATTTCGTAAAAATTTAACTAGTGGAAGCCGATTATTCTGTCCAATCGAATCCAAATTAATGAATTTGAAAATAATAAAAAAACATGTATCAAATGCTTAACATGTATAAATAAAGAAAAAAACGGAAACTTCAAGAGCAAAATGTGGATATTCGTGAAGTGCAAGAGAATCTATAGAACCTTGAAGATGTTGTTAAAATAAACTTATAAACAAACAAATAGTACGACATTGTATAATTGTGTCAAGAGCTAGAAAAAAAACAACAAATGTTTTAGATAGTTCTAAGCAACGCAATACAGAGTCACGATTGGACCATTATGATTGTAGAGGTGCTATTTAGAGATGCCTGCTGCAAAGTTGCAACCTTTGCATCTCTCTAGAGTTAGATGCAGCCTTTGCGAACACCTTTTTTGTTGCAAAAAGATGTAAGATCATAAAGTTGCAAGATTGAAAGAAACTGAAAGATTACAAGATTGCAAGATCACAAATCATATGATTGCAAAGTCATAGATAGTCATAGCAGTTTGTATAAAGTAATTAGTATATTCTTAATTAAATGCAACATATTAATTAATGTAGTATAGTATTAATTGAAATAAGTTACTAATAAAACAAAAAATTTTTATTATGTACGTGGAAGAATCAAGTAATGATGGTCAGACTCAACGCACAGAGCAGACTCTAGATTCTTGCACAGCCATGAGAGCTGGGCATACAGTGAGCAATTTTGTAGAAGATCTTACCCTCTCCTTAGATACCAAGTCATCCTATCCTTCTGAAGAGACATGCTTTAACAAATTTCTTAACAAATACAATTTACCACTTCTTCCACATCCACAAACTCTCAAATCATTTCTTCATCATTTGCTCAAATATTCTTTCTTTCAACCCTACAAAATATCAGTTAACATTATTACACTTGAAACACATATATATCTTGATATAAACAAACAAACTCTTTCTGGTCACTTAATCCTCTCTCCAAACCAATATTCAATCTATTCTTATTCCTCTATTTTGTCATCTATAATAGAATATTAATTTATTTATTTAAGTAGTTCATCAAATTATAATATACCTTTCTACTTTGGTTCACAACTTTATTTTATTTTAAACTTTGTTAAAATCTTCATATATATAATAATCAAACCAATCTACTACAA